GTTTTTTGATTGCTTCAAAAGGTATTGATTTTGTCACCAGACCCTTTTTAAATTTCGGAACGGGCAATAGAACGCCTACGCTCGAATCTAATTCAGCACACTCATACCCCGTTGTATATCCATCTAGCTTGTTATCAAAATCGCTACTTTTCCATCAAGCAAAACTGTTTGATACAAAGCAAACATAGCATTTTTATTTTCAATGTGATGATATCTCAACAATATATAATACATATATAACAATATTGTAGCATGATGTATTATAACTATCCTTTTAAGATATGCAGCATTTCCAAATACGGCGTCTGTATGAAGAGCAATTAAGTACAGCCCTTAGACCGTTTTAGCAAAAATAGGTTAAATTTACTATTAGGGCGTTTCAGCAATACTAAGTTACGATTGAATAAGTTAGAATTTCTATATATAATTACAATTGATGTTGCAATGTTTTGACATGGTGTGAAGTGACATGGTACAAAGTGTAAGATCATGAATGTTGGATATTTCCAAGGAACCATAATATTCACATTGCTGAATTGAAGGATTCTCCTGGAGATTCTAATTTTAACCCAACTGTTTTCTTTGTCAATGAATTAGCACTGCTTAGTCGGTGTTCTTCTTGCTAAATATAGAAAAAAGAAGGTTGTTAGATAATGCTCGATTTATTTATGAAAGGCCAACAGGTGGTATTCGTAATTTTCCTGGCCAAATTGTTGTTGATCGATCCCTATGGCACAAGGTGTTTGGAAAAGAAAGAAAACAATGGTCACATTAATTTCTCACAAAAAAATGCTTGCTCTCAAACTGACGTTTATACTCGATTGATCGTATCTGTTCACGTATAAGGTTCACAAAAGTATTTTGGGTTGTATCTAATGAAGCGTGCGCAATTGCTGTTATTTATAGGTAGGGAGAAATTGAATCCGAGCTTTCGATGTCTACAACATCGTCAGGGAATTCAATATACCTGAGTTTTCCTGACGATGTTGTAGACAGCGAAAGCTCGGATCAATTACTTACTAGCTACACATAGCAGCCAAGGCTTCTTTAGATACATTAAACATTTGCAGCTATTTGAATATTTGCATTTTTATCAAGAGTCATGGATATGTTAACAGGCTTTCAAAACAAATTTGCTGACAATAATAATCAATAATAAAATCTTTTAAGTTATCTTCGGTACAGTACCTTTTGTTCAGTTTTCAGAACATCTAGTAGTTTGCAGAGTTGAGAAAACGTTGGACGCTTTTTAGGATCTGCCGACCAGCAGATTCCCATCAGTCGATATCTGAAACACAATCGCAATTATTCAGTCACTGTTCATCCGAATTCTTGCTTACATTCAGAATTTTAATTTCTTTGCCTTGAGGACAATTTTTACTTTTATACAAAGACTATAGGAATCTTTAATTGCAAATTGAAAAACAAAGCTCAGTTGAAGTTGTTGTCGACTTCATGGAAAGGCAAGGGTCTGTATATATGACATCAGTCCTGCTTCTCTGTATTATCATCTTCAGCTTGAATTCGCTTTGAATTGAATGAATATGGTCAGTGCGCAAACATTCCGTCTCCTGAGAACTACTATTTATAGTGAAGTATTACGCAAATATCCCACATTTTGGAGTCACGGTCTTAAAAAGCAATTCTACGTACTTGAAAAATGGATATCGAACTACTTTGACTGTCTCATTCACTGGAAGGTTTTCTTATATGAGTGCAAACCATTACTTAACAAGCAGTCAGAATCTATTCGTGCAATGTAAAGTGTTTGTCTAATAACACTTTGCAAATGTATTCTTATACCCTTGATAATGGAGATAGAATGATTACGTTATTTTTCATTCTAAATGATATTTCTTTCTATGCAACAGAAACTTCAATGATGCATAAATGCATTCCTGAACTATAGCTTTCGAGATGAAGCATTTCGCTGCATGTCTTGCAGARTGAGTTGCTTTAGCCCTTCTTTCATGCAAAGCATCAATATATATGATTTATCAATAATTTTTATCATTCTCTTACAGCTTATCTGGAGTTCCTGCGGGTTGTTCTAATCGGTACCCTTCTTTTTGCTTGTGAACAAGATCTTTGAAGGATAATGCACCATGTGGCATCAATCCTGACATAAACGAAAACAGAGTATCATAAAATAATTTATCTTATAAAAACAATGATTAAAGTGGTCTTATCATGCTATTTGGTCGGCTTTTTTTTTAAAAGCGCGCTTTAAAAGTGTTCCTTCCTTACCATATTACCTTCACTTGTTGAGAAAGTTTAAGCCTGGTTTTCAGACGCGACGCACACAAGCGTAGGAGCATAAAGAGATATTCTTTGTTTCATTGTGAAAAGTTTTACACTTACTGTTAAACGCCAGAAAAGTATTTTTGTTATAGGGCTCCTACCGCCTTGGTGCCTTGGTTTGGTGTGAACAGATTGTGATTTTATGCTTTAGTTTGTCTGTCTCTTCCACGGCTCATAATGGAGAAAGCTATACATGAGGATCGATTTTAAAACGAAAGTTCTTACCTTTAGTTTCTATTTCCCACAAAAGTACTCCAAAGGACCAACTGTAATGAAAAGTGAGATTATTTACGCTGTGAG